ATGTTCAGGTCTGGAGCTGGCAGCTCACATGTCTACTAAGTGGCTGCTCGTCTCAGGGCCACATGCCTCTGAGTCGCTTTGTCACAGAGGGAACGGGAAAGGGGGAGGGGGCCAGCCCAGCCCACAGCCCTCACCACCGACGTGCGGACGACAAGAGGCCACACGCTAACCTGACGAGCTCAGGGAAGGCCTGTGTGGGGGCCTTACGAACTTAGAGACCTCAAGTCACCATAAAGGATGGTCTGAAATGAAAACTTTAAAATGCATATATTTGTATTGATTTCAGAGAGGAAGGGAGAGGGAGAGAGAGAGAGAAACATCAATGATGAGAGAGAATCATGGATCGGTGGCCTCCTGCATGCCCCACACTGGGGATCGAGCCCGCAAGCCAGGCATGTGCCCTGACCGGGAATCGAACCGTGACCTCCTGATTCATAGATTCAACCACTGAGCCACACTGGCCGGGCTCATTCTTCCCTCTCTGAACACAAACCGGTCACTGTGCCCACAGAGGGGCAAGGACAAGGAGGCCCTGGGCGCGCTGGGCCCACGCATGGCATCTCCTGAGGCCGGCCTTGGTCTGCCCTTCAGCAGCCTGGGCCTGAACCAGGAGGGTGACTGAAAACTCCACCCACCACCGGGACAGCCCCACACACCGGCCAACACGCGTCCTCAATTTAGAGACGATTTAAGATGGATACCTACGCAAGGCGGCGTGAGGTCCCCCCAAAACTACAAATCAGAAGGGACAGAGAAGTTGCCTGAAGTCCCCCAGCTGACAGCAGCCCTAAAAGCCAGCACGACTAACAGTGACCAGTTGTGATGCTGAAACTCTCCGGAACTTCAATAATAGAAACTGTACTTAGCCCATCGTGCCAGAGGGTGAAAAAAAGACCTTTCTATTCTCTCTACAGAAAATTCCCTTGCAGACTCATGCTCATACGAAGACTGTGCAGCCAGGAAATGCAGGAGAAGGGATTCAGAGATGCCCTGGCCCCTTAACAAGTAAAAACGTTGCGTGATTCTCCTGGATTTTGCATTTTGTTGTTCCATATAAATATTCACCGTCGTACCCCAACTTTGTATTTGCAGTGTTTTTTGTTTTTTTCCTTTTGTCAAAGAGGGTCTCTAACTTTGACTCTGATTCAGAAGCTCTTGACTCAGGATGCATGGAATGCATAGAGAGATGGGCGCCCCCAACCCCTGGGCCCCACACCCTAGAAGCAGGTCTTGCCGACGATGTGCGTCCCTGCTTTCCTGCGTAACAGGGGATGGCCTGACGGTGCCCTTCTCCCAGGGGGATGTCGCAGGAGGTCCGTCTTGAGGTTTCTTGGAAAACTCTTGCCTTCCTGATACAGAAGTCGTTCTTCCCCATTTCTGCCTTGAATGCCAATGCGGCATCGAGGGCTGCAGCAGCCATGGGGCACCCACGAGGGAACAATTTGGAAGATTAAAGACAATATATGCGCTCAGGGTAGGAATGCAGATCGAAAGAGCAAGGGTCCCGGACAGATTGTATGTGTGTGTGTATGTGTGTGTATGTAGGTGTGTGTGTGTGTGTGTGTGTATGTATGTGTGTGTGTGTGTGTGTGTTGAACCCATGCTTGTAACAACTGACTTCTAGATAATGTAAAAAAACAAAAAAACCACACAAGCATTTATTTTTATTATTTTTTAAAATACATTTTTATTGATTTCAGAGAGGAAGGAAGAGGTAGAGAGAGAGAGAGGGAAACATAAATGATGAGAGAGAATAATTGATTGTTTGTGTCAAAAAAAAAGTTTTCTGTTCTTTGCAACTGTCTCCTTTCTGAGCGAATACAGTCAGTTTCCAGTGTCCGGCATTGTGTGGTCAGTGATGCAAACCAGCATGTCCAAGCCAGAGGTGGGAGCAGTGTCGTCAAACCAGTTCTGCAGCATATTTCCCCCGTCACTCCTCTTTCTGAAATCCTGAAGATTTCACGAGCTACCTAACATGGCTTTTAATACATTCTTTTTCTGCTTAAATTAATCAAAGTTAAAAAAAAATCCGGATTAGGTCATTAGGGTGGGTCCTAATCCAATACGACTGGTGTCCTTATAAAAAAATTTTGGACACAGAGATGCACACAGAGAGAGAACACTGTGCAGATAAAGGCAGAGAATGGGATAAAAAAAAATTAGCCAATGTCTACTTCTGTTGCTTGCAATCTAGAATCCTGAGAAATGCAGAAATTGACACCAGGAGTGGTGGCAGGAACACACCCTCAAGGAATGGGGAGAATTTGAGATTGATGACCTGGTCTGGTTGGATCTAAGGACAACAAAAATTCAAGAGGTTTTATGACAGTTCAGGACACAAGTCGCCGGGAACAGTGAAGGACCCGCTGAAGTTAAGGCAGCGGAAAACAGAGAGAGCGGCGTGAGGCACCCAGAATCCAGACTGTGGATGGAGGGGAAGATGACCTGGTTACTAAAGCTTCAAAAATGAATGGCAGGGTCTTCAATCCTGGTTCTAGGGAGTCTGAAAGCCAGGGACCCGCCGACTCTGAAGAGAACACCTTACCTTTTGCAACCACAACGAAACCAAAAGGGAGACCTGTGGGTTCCTGATTCACATCCGCTAGCAGCTTCACAACCTTCTCTCCTCCCATTGATATTCAGGGAAATGACAGGAAACAGTGAGCATCGGGAGACTGAATGGGGCATACGATGGACTGAGGACGCATAAAGCACACAGCTTCCCTTCTCCCCGCACAGGGACACTGTTCCTCACTTGCTTCAAGACCTATAATGCTTAGTGATTGAGCATCGGCCTATGAACCAGGAGGTCACGGTGCGATTCCCGGTCAGGGCACATGCCCGGGTTGCGGGGTCCATCCCCAGTGTGGGGCGTGCAGGAGGCAGCCAGTCAATAATTCTCTTCATTGTTGATATTTCTGTCACTTTCCCTCCCTCTCTGAAATCAATAAAAAATAGATTTAAAGAGAGAGGGAGAGAGGTGACCTCCAAAGGGAGGGGTGGGTTGTTGAACCTCACACCATTGACCACAGGAAAGAGAGATAGGATGCTCAGAGGCCCTCTTTATGGAAGCAACATTCGTCACAGCCCAGGCCTCTGATGACAAACGACATTCCTTCAGGATGAGAAAACAGAAAGGTAGTTTGGGATGTCCAGGCAAGTACTGGAAAGACATTGGTAGCTCCTGTCGTAAGGAAACTTCTAAGTGGAGAGACTGACAATTATGCAGACATCTCTGTGAGGACACAGGTGGTGCCCCCAGCCTAACCCCGAGTGGGCGATGGGTGGCGTGGTCTGGGAAGACTTCCCGGAGGAAGTGACCCTGTTACAGATTGGGGATTTGTCCGTTTTGGGAGGCTAGTGTGGAGAGAGTTTTCTTGGTCTGGGAAGTTGAGGAAGAATCGGGTTCCTATCTTCGGTATTAGAGGAAGCTGGGTGTCCCCTCCTTGAGCGCTCTATACTTCGGGCACCCCCAGGACAAGGCAGAGAAGCGCCCCAGGGGCACCCCCGCTCAGCCACAGCGACCCAGGGACTTGTTGGTCCAGGAAGGACCGTCCTACTAGGCGGGTTGCATTGTAACTGGAGGCAGGACCAGAGAGCGGTGCCACTTCCCTCGGAAGTCCTGCGGCTCCGGCCACTGACGCCCGCGCTCACTGGCCCCCCTTATACCCCCCCACCGCCCCGTGCACTGAGAGGAGGCGAGGGGTGCAGCGTCCCCACCGCGCCCACCGTGTGCCAGGGCGCATGGCGTGG